TCTTCTGAACACTGTTGGTTCAGGTATAGCAGTTAAGATATTACTTCCATGCTGGTTTTGACAGAAGAGGACATTTGGAAAGAACAATCAAAATGCTGGGCAGTAGAAAACTCCCAAAACCCCAATCAGTACTAAATGGGCTCATCATCAAACAACTGAGTGGGCAGAGCCAGGCGCAGAACACTTCAGTTTTGACCATCTCCTCGTTCACTATGAACTGAAAGTAAACCCTGTGACCAGCACCTTTGGGTCTACATAAATGTTTTTGCTGCTTTGTTTAATAAAGGCCTAAATAAGCACAGCTCCGTCTGCATTGCCAGCTGCAGGATGTAAGTGCAGCAGCACCTTCCTGCCTGAGCTAGTTTGGGCAGTGACAGAAAGGAAGACACGTCATCATCGCTCACTTCAGCCTAGGCCAGTCACAAGAATTCCCAAGATCCCAGATAGACCCCTAACCTTGGTGATCTTCCAGACTTCCACAAACACTTGAGGCTGAAGATGCGTCAGCCAGTCTTCTCAACACAAGTTGCTTGTTCCTTCCTCAGGTAACAGGGTCAATCCATTCTTTCAAGAATTAACTGCATTACTTTTCTTAGTCCTGGTTCACTGCCTTGCTGCACAAACACTTGTGCTGGCACAAGGAAGAAGGGTTGGAACATATACCTGTGGCTGGGGAGGTGGTGTGACTCCCTCTTTTGGGAGGTGGTGGAAGAACTAACACCACCTTCATTGTTCCTGCTACCTCTTAACACAGTCTTGTAATTAGTTTAAACTGGTAGGAGCCAGTCAGCGATGACACTGCTCCCAGTGCCAGGTCCTTGTCAGGGCCGGCTGCTCCCCAGGGACAGGGAGATATATCACAGGAAGCAGAGCAGATGGCTCACCAGACACCATCCTACTGTCCTAAAATAAGGGAGCAGGGCAGGCTAGGGACAGTAGCCAGGGCCAAACTAGGTCATCAAGCAAGCTCGTGGCAATGAGGCAGGTCCAAGGTCAGGCTGAGCAGTCAGTCTGCAGGTCAGGGTCAGACACAGGTGGGTCTGTGATGCCAGAGCAGGGCTGAGGTCAAGCAGGAAGCAGCCTGGCCTTGTGACCACTAGCCAGGACCATAGTGACAGGAGAGAGAAAAGATCAGGCTGCAAAGTCAGTCCACAGGTCTGAGGCCAGAACAGTCTACAATGACCCAGATCAACAGGCACAACCTACAGACAGGCACAGGTATGGCTGTGGCAGAAATAGGTACAGTTGAACTTAAATAGAGCCTGTGGGCCCATGGGCAGGGGTGTGGGGGAGGCAAATGAAGGCTTATTAGTGCCATTATGGCCTTGACAGTCCTACTCTTTCCCCTTCCTTGTGTCCTGTTCCTCCCACCCTCCTTAAGCCTTAGTGCTTGTGAGGCTGCATGAGGAGCCAGATCAGTGAAGTGCAAAAACTAACTGTCTTTTGGTAAGGTTATTTCTGGTTGTCATAGTGAGCTTATTCATCTCCCTACACTGCAGTATGAACACTAGAACTGGAGGTGTGGAGGCAGCTGGAACATGTGGCTCAGGGCTGAGAATCAATAGATGGTGGCAGATGTGGCAGTGTGGTCCAAATGGGGACTATGCCACTTGTGAAACTGTACTCAGTCTTCTGGAATTTCACACTGCAATCACCTCCTAATTTAAGAGCAGGTGTGTTATTGCAAGTGTCACTGCTCACAAACATCATTATGGAATTGATTCTGTTAGTTAATTTAATTTTTTATTTATATAGCTCTACTAGACGATCTACATGCAGCTGGACTAGATGGTTGTTATGGGTCCCTCCCAACTGAAGTATTCTATTCTACAGACACAGCTGTGGGTGTACTTGTATTTGTCTAAAAGTGCTAGAGAACACTCACTGTCTCTAAGAGCATAGTCTGGAGAAGAAACATTAAAATAAAGGAGAACCATTCCCAAGGAAGAAGAAAGGGAAAAGAAAACAATGTATTTTTTTTAAAATCAGAGCTTGTTTTTTCTTTCCACCCTCCGTGTAATAACCCAGCAAGGGAATGCAAATTAACATTCATGGGTTTTTTAAACAATAGCCTTTGTGTTCTGAACCACACTGACAAAGCAGAACAATCCAAGCAAAACATGATCACAAAATCTTTTGCCAGCAATGTGCTAGCCAGTTTTGTTGCAAACATCTAAAGCTGCAAGGGAATCTGTTTTGGAAAGTAATAAAGTAAGTGTAGCTTCTTTTTACTCAGCTGAAAATCTATTTAATTTTTTTCTCAAGCTGAATTTCAAACTGTTACATCACTGCAAATTCCATTAAGTCAGTATGGTCCTAGGCTCTAGGCCCAGGAAGCCAGGCTGAATGTATACCAGCAAGGGCAGAACTCGTTTAAAAATTAAGCAAAAATCACCCTGCTCCACTGTCAGAGACCTGACTACTCACTGTGCTTGCAAATACAGAGAACAGGATGTATCACCAACAACTATTGCCTTTTGGTTTGAAGACGCTGAGAGAGAATACTCGTGATATACATGGTGCCAGCTTGACTTCCAAGTGGAAACACCAAAAGTTAAAAATACATGTAAAAGCATGCTTTCTCCTGAGAAATCTAAAATTTGAAAAACTAATTCCATGATTGCAGTTATTGCTGGCAGATGTCTGCTCCTGTGGAAGAGAACTTACCTGCTGCTCTGTTAAACTGCTGTGTAGCCTCTATTTAGACCAAATCACTGTTTCCAATCCAAATGTGTAAAATCTCCCAACCTATCTTTACACGTGGGCAGAACCACACTGCCTAAGAGACCTTCCTGGAACTAGTGTTGAAAAGATTTGCAGGATGGTAGAACATTTGTAGTGAAGGTGTTGTGAATGAGTGGTCTCTTGGTATGTTGGCAATATAGTATAGCAAACTTGAGAGTTCACTGGCTCTGAGAGATTGTCCCACTCAGAGAAGAGGACAGAAAAATACTAGTGGGATGTCAGATACATCACAGTCCACTGTGGTCCAGGAGAGCTCAAAGTGTCTCACTTAGGACCATTGTTTATGGGATCTCAGGAGAGTTGCCTTTAGTCATAGTAATTTTCCATCCTGGTTGCAATTAGGGTCAGCAATTTTCTTTAAAAGTTTGATAACAAAAATGTTGTTCCACTCAAGTTGTTATTTTAGCAAGACAAGTTAAGTTTCCAAGGCTGTTCATTAAAAACCAGGAGCTTGTTAGCCAACGTAAGCTCCTGGAAGCAGTGTTTCTGGTAAGGTCAAGAGGACCTTAGTCCAGGTGCTGTTCATCAAGGCCGAGGCCTAACAAGCATTTCTGAGATCAGAGCGTGGCCCAAGGAGGGGGGGAGGATGCACTGCCACAGAAGGCAAGCTTGAAGATACGCTCCAAGGTGTGTCTGTCTACATCCTCTGAAATGATAACCATCAACAGCTGTCACCACTCTGAAATCCTCTGTGTAAAGCACAGAAGATATCCTCTGCATTAGCAGTGGAGAATATATGAATATCATAGCCAGCAGTAACAATCATAAGTCAGTGAAGGGAAAAGGATCACCACAAGGACAATTGGTTTCTACGTGTCTTTCTTCCACACAGCATGTGGTTCTCAGCCATCTCTAGGCTGTGGTTACTCACTGTGGGTAAGCAGGTTGGCTGCTGCTGCTGCTGCTGCTGTGTGAGGTTCTCTGCCGCTATAAAATGGATCAATGCAACTGGACAAGTGCATAGGAAGAGCAGGGACAAAACAGCATACTGTGCATTATGCATTTAAAGCATAAAACCACAATAAAGCAAAAGTAGCAATTTTAGAACTCTCATAAGGGATAAGGGGAAAAAGTCAGAAATTATTAACAGCCCTCATGAGTTCTTGCCTACTTGACAAGGATTCCACTGGCATTACCTCTTACTTTGAAAAAGTACCCCTTACTTTGAAAAAAGGATTCGATGATTCTGGAATGTTTAGCATCTTGTTAAATATAACATGCTGAGTATATTTGTTTGAAAAGGTCTGTGGTTGCCTTAGCTTGTGATCTCTAATCACCTTACTATGATTAAACTGCATAAAATCTGGTATTATCTAAACGTTTATCAACTGGAATTTAACTGCAAACTCTGCCTTTAAAAGATACCGACATTAGTATGGTTATAACAGCCACCATAAATCTGCATTAATGATCTACTCCCAGGGCTGTAACCCTAAAGAAGCCATAGAAAGAGAAAACTGAGAACTGTTTCCTGGTATACAGGACCTAAGACCCTTTGCCAGGGCAATAAGTGCTTGGGAACAAGACACTCAGAAGAGAGACCCCCTCAATCATTCACTTTTGTTACCAAAATTCTGTAGAGACAAGAGTTTCCACCAGTGTTCAGGTTTCAGTTTGCAGTTATTCTAAATCTGGGCCTGCATTTGTAGTGCAGTTAAGTGATACTCAGACCAATTCATGCTGTGTTACTCCAGCCTTCACACGACAGCACTTTTTTCCATCTGTCAGCTCGGACTTTCCCCACCTCCCTGCAGCAGGACTCTTCTCATCTTCTCTCTCCTCCCCTGCTTCAACACTGTGCATAGCAGCGTGAAATATGAAAAGCAGCAGGATTTCAATTTATTTATAGTGGGAAAAAAATTAGTAATTAAAAGCCACATATTTGTTGTTTTATTTTCTATTATTTGTCTGAATTAACGTTTAGCTTCCCTTGCTAATATGGATCCTATGGTATTACATAGTTTGTTCTCATATTTTTACATAGCATTCAGTGATGTTGAAATGTGTACCTCTCTAGAAGGCCTGTTCAGTAGGTGTGAATGTACTCTTCAGAGTTCCTGTGTTGTTTTTGACATCCTGTGACGTTTCCTTCACTGCACTCTGGGTTTAAACAAGCGCGATCCCGGCGCGGGCTCAAAGGCAGCCCAGCCCAGCCCAGCCCAAAACCCCGTGGTGGCCGCTCCAGGCACAGGCAGCACCAGCCTCCCAGTCTGGCTCAGCTTGCACACAAACCTCAGGCCATTTCTTTTTGCCAAGTCATTACCGGGATACCATTCTCTCCTTATGCTATACTGCGAGGCAGGAAACTTCTTTCCCCCTCTCATACCTAACATTCAGGGCTCATTCCAGCTGGGAAAGTGGAACTCGTTATCAGCTGGCTTTAGTTTTCAGTCCCTGGGCTGTACTTATGACAGTATTAAGCTAAAAGAAAGGCCAAGGTGAAAACAGCTAATCTGCTGCCTGATCACGGAAGAGACTGGCAAGTGGTTGGGCTCATACTTCCTCATTTTTTTTGTACTTTAGGTTACAGTGGAGGATCTCATTGGCTCATCTAAACTCACTGCTAAACAAGCAGTCTTTTTCTCCTCCTTTTTCATCTGCTTGTTGGATCTGCAAAAGTAAGACCTTATACACAAGGCCACTACTTTCAAATTTAAATGTCACAAGTTAAGCATGTCAATATGTAGTGAATGATACAGTAATGCAGCAGTTACTGAAACTTTATCCTGAAGTACAGTGCAACTTTTTTTCCCCTCATCATAGTATCACGGGACAGGATTTGGGATCCTATTACTAGGAAGAGTATTAGCATTTATTTGAAAATGATTTTTAGCTTCAGAGATATATATCAAAGCATCAGGATATGCTTTACCCTGAAAGGTTAAAAGGCAAGTGAACACCAGATTCACTTCCCTTTAGTTCTATAATAATTTAAATACTGACAGTTCATTCATTTTATGAATGGGTCTCTCAGGGTTGACAATGCTGGAAAAATTTTCAACAAAAAATTAGTCTAGTTCTTCAGATTTCTGTGTCTAGGTAGCTTCTCTAAATATAAAACCTCAAAGATTTAATTAGCTTTACTTCACTCCAGAAGGCATCCTCTAGACTTTCCAGGGCATACAGTGAATGTGGGGAAGCAAGAGGTAAAAAGATATTCATGTCCTTCCCTCAAGTACAGTTTTAGAGGTCTTAAAAGAACAATGTATCAGCATGGTTAGGTCAAGAACTCATTGCTTTAAATAAATAAACAAAAAGATTTTGTGTTCCTACTTTTTGACATATTTCAGAATTCAACAGTAAAAGGGAAAAAAATCACAAAAAAATGGTAGCTCGCTAAAATCTTAATAAAACTTAATTGTTCTAAATGTAACGAGTAAAGACAAAATAGTGTGCATATTTTCAGATATTAAAAACAGTTCTGAAACTTGGTTCTGCAAGTTGATTTTGCATTTGGAAAGGCTGTAATTGGAACTTACTCTACTGCTGTTATTTTCCTATCTAACAGTGGTTACCTTCAGATGGATTCCATCATATTCTCTATAATCATCATTTTTACTACAGCCCAGTGAAAGTAGGTTTTCATTTCTTTTAAAATAAATCCTGGTTTAGATCTCCTTTGGCAAACCTGCAGCATTCCCAGATGGCAGCTCATACTCCTCCTGCTGCTAGATCTTGTTTCATAGTAAGCTTCATAGTAGTAGGGTTATAATAATAAGGATATGAAAATTGTTAAAGGAGTCAACCAGTACAACTTCCTTTAAGTTCCAGCCAGTGCCATAAAAACACTTTGTGCAGGATATCCAAGTCTTTCTTTCTTCTTTATTTTACAGTGCTGACGATCATAATTTTTAGAAGGTGGAAGAGTTAGAGTTTTAGATACAGGATCAGTCACTCAATAAACTAAATAGCTGCCGTGTCAATAGAGTTGCCATGTGGTAAGTGCCTGTTGAATAACTTGGTTTGCAGCTCTTTGTTTCTCTGACCATCAACCGTAGGTTTAAAATATAGTGCAAATAATAAAATAAGAAAAACTGTAAAACAGTGTTTTCAGGGTGTCTTCCAACAGCTGTTATCAGAAGTAGCAGAAGATGCAAATTCATTTGCAGTCCATGAATAATAATAGTTTTTCTGACCTTTTTGTTTGACTTATTTAAATGGCCATCATGTTTTTCTTCTCTGCAGAAGAGGCAGTAGTTAATTACAGTGATGGTTATAAGAACTACAATTAACACAATTCCAGCTGTTCTGACAAAAGTAGCTCCAGGCAAGGTTGGCTATGAGGTTCTGTTTTAAATACCACTTGCTCCTTGTACTCCAAAGATTATCCAGATTACAAATTGTCGAGTTCTCACATCACGTACTTGTACTGTATAACAGACAGCACCAGGGTCACAGAAGAGAAAACAGAGGGGGTGATGGCACAGGAGGGAAATAAACTTGTAATGCAATCACCCTAATGGCTAAAATATATCAACCTCCAAACCCACAACTCTAGAATCTTGCACAAGTACTACATTTATTAGAAAAATAAGGTACATTGCTGATAGTATGTATCTGGCACTTAGTATGACATAATCTGCTCTATATGTCAAATATATAAACAGATGTCAGTTCTGAGGAGTATTTAAGATAAAATTTTAGTCAGCAGGATATGATTTTCATTTAAACATAAATTTACTTTGCCAATGGTCACTAGCAACTTTAAAAAAACCCCACATATAAAAAATATGTAAGTATAAATGTTATGTGCACAGAGTCTTTGAAACTGTTCTGTTGTAAGCATCAGTTCTCCACAGAAGTTTAGCTGTCTCAGAGCCTTGTATTTCTGCTATTTCAGTGTCTCCCCAACCTCTAATATTCTGTTAACTGTATATAAATGGATAATCTTTTAAATGCAGTCTTAAATGCTGGGTTTCCTTGAGGTAACTTGCAATTTATTCTGTATATGATATTCAGACATCTTTAATAGATGCTCCCTGCATTTAACCAAAGTATACACTACTGAGAAGACTGAATTTAATAAATTGAGAACCAAGACAAGCACTCAAAGCCAGGTATTTCAGAGGCAACAAAAATTCTGCAAATGAACTAAGGAGTCTCAGCTTTGTCTGTGTGACCATCAGTTAAGAAAGTACGTATGTACACAGATACCACAGTTTAAGCACTTCCAAAGCAGTTGGGTAGTTTCAGAGCATAAGTCCTGTTTTTGGAAGTCACACAACAACTTTGAGGGGAGCTTTCACTTTGCCCATGGCTACTGTCACTCAGCTGTCAGCCATAGGCTCACTACTGACAAGCAGGTTTCCAGGCTGCTTCTGAAAGTGCAGCTGTAAAATTAAGCACTTTATTAGAAATTGTTAGCCATAGAATTAATGTATTGCAGACTAAGCATTTTAAAAGGAGAGTGTTAGCCACAGAACTCATGTATTTTAGTAAGGTTGGAAGTTCTCAAGGGCAAGTTTATAATTTCTTGTAAAGATTTGTTACAGGCAAGAATTTCGATAAAACAGAGACGGATGGTTGCACCTGTGGAGAGGCTGATAAAAGTGAGAAAGAAGATGAAACAGCCCCGACAAGACTGGGTTTAGGCCTTGAACCAGGTCCAGAAGGCAGGAAACCGCGCCAGTACCAAGGAGTCAAGAAAAACACAAGCGATTTGAGGGGGGCATACTGTGAGGGAGAATGGGGTGGGACAGATGAGGTAATCTTTGAATCTTTAGTTAGAAAGTTGTATAAATTTATGAAACCCATGTGATTCAGGGTGCATCCTTTGGGATTTTTTCCAAAGCACCTGGCGCCGCAGTAAACGTGTGTGCTTTTTGGCTTTCTGTACTCAAAATGAGTCTAGAGAGTTCCTGCTCTGACTTTTCAGCATCAAGAGCACAATGGCCTCATTCCTATTACAACTAAGACCAGCCTGTGCTTGGTTGTTAGTGAACAATAAGCCATAACATAGGCCCTGCATAGAGTTTCTGACTTGACAAAGCTGCATGGCAAGATTTGACATAATTCACCTGCAGTTATCTTCTTCAAGAATACTTCTGAACACAGATAGACACGTATGGGGCAGAGTCAGCATCTCCTTCCTGACTCTGCAAGCTCACAAAAGTGACACACAGTCTCCATAGATACACGTGGCCTGTGGGCACTTGGAGAAGAGATAAGCATTTAAAACAATGACACATGCTGCAAAAAGCCTGGGGGAAAACACAGAGCACGGGAAGTTTATTTTGATGATTGTATCAGGTGAGACATTGCATATGTACTAGCTTTTCACAAAGAAGAGAAACATTGACGTTCTTCTTTTATTTAAGCAAAAGGGAAGGCAGTGGCCAGTGACTACAGCTTCCCTCCCAGGGGGCTGACTCACCACTTCCTGTCACCCTGTTAAAACTAAGGCATCACTTCAGTTACAGCTCCAGAGCTTCAAACTACTCCACACAGCCCAGCTTCTGTTTTTACTGGAGCTCTGTGCAGTCACACAGCTTCAGTTCAGCACTGTCAATACTGGTGGCTGGAGCTATTTTTAAAAGGCTCTGCATTGTCACAAATCAGCCTCCTGGTCTAATCTGTTTAGAAAATGGTGCATTTAGTTCCTTCATCCATATATATATGTATAAATGTATATATATGCAGCAGGCACTCAACCTTCCATTTGTTGTGTAGAATGATGAACTCATTGAAGGTATGCACTAAATAAGCAGAAAACTGCTATTGTTTTTGTTAGATTACTCAGAATACACATGGTAGAATTAAACTACTGACCCCTGTGGTTGTCAGGGGCCCTAGAAAGTCAACTTCATATGTGCATAAATAAGGAATGCTTTGCTTAGTCATTCGTCTGTCAGTTGGTCATTTCCTATGTACGGGCAAAAGAAAACAGTGGTTAAAGGGTCTTCTCTGCAGTTTAGATCTCTATGCTGATTTACGTTAGTCTGCAGGCATGGGGCCTGTTTGCACAAGTCTTTACCCTCAACACACAGAAATCTTCATCTTGCAGATTTTCCAATATTACAAAAGCTTAAAGAATGATAACACTGAATTTGATAAGAAATGAAACCTATTTGTGCATCAGCAATGTTTATACATGAAGTTAAAGCTTCTGTTTAAAAGCACCACAGATTTAATTTGACTTTTTAATTAGACTATCTACAAAAGTAAAACTCTTTCATTTTGGGACTTAAGCAAAATAATAAACCCATTATATATGTTAGTTGTATTATTTCAGGCACTACCAATGGGCATTACACTGATAAATAAATTAATAAAGATTTAAAGGAAATTAAAATCAGATTACCACTCTACCCTGTCTTATCCTTTCTTCTATAATTGCTACATTCATTGACTTTCAAGACTCCATACTAATTTTGACTAAGCATATTTGGAAATATTTAATAATCTGAAAGTGATGTTTAGTCACTGCAGAAACAAAAAGATTTAGAATACTTATATATTTAGCATCTGAAGTGGTCTGGTAATGCAAACCAAAAGGAATACACACCCAGCAGAAGCAAACTCCACCCTCTCAAGAGGGGCAGTCCAGTCTGACATTCAGGACCCCTTATGCTCTTGCTGCTCAGCCTGTATGGTGAAGTGTCCATATCTCAGGAGCCTGAGGTGGTTCTTCCTGCAGCCAGGAATGCTGCAGCCAGGAATGCTGCTGTGTGACATGAGAAGGAGCTCCCCTTTCCACAGTGGGGGCAGTTGTGCCAGCAGTGACTCTGCACTGTCTGCTGACAGTACCCAGGGGGGTTCACCTACCTAAAAAGAGGCAGCTATGGAGTGTCACACATTTCAACCACTTTGTGCCCCAGAAATATGCATCTCCTTATTCTGACAGCCCCATTGTATCCGACAGGCCCCATATGGATGTCTTGGGCAACTCAGGGTGGTTTTTTTTTAAAGACACTGAAGCCTCTATTTAGGAAACCGAAGTTCATCCCAAATAGCACTGTATGAGCAGCTCTGATTCTGGCCTGATTCTGATTGTAATCCTGGTACGGGAGAGCCTTCAAACAAGGAAAAATGTGGATTACAATGTAAGATCCAGGAAGGCATCACTTGCTAACAGGTCAGACTGATGTTCAGATAAGGAACTTCAAAACTGTCTGGAATGTCACAAAGCTGACTGCATCTAATCATATTGCACATTTGCAATATGCCTGTTGACTGTTCTGCCATGTATGAGATACAGTACCAACACACCAGCAGGAACAACATCTTGTGGCAAGACAGGACTAATACAACCACTACATTGTTTAAAAACAATTTTCTCTCTACAGTGCAAAAGTGCCTTATTTACTTAAATCTTGATGACATATTTCCTCCCAGAACTATTATATATGTACCCCAAATGTTCTGTTAGTTATGATCTAAACTCTTGATACCTAGGGGTTTTTTTGTTTCCTCTTGCCTGGGACCACTATGATCCTTCTCATATCTCACAACAAAGGAAACCAAGCTGCCTAGAAGGATACCATCTGATTTCTTTACTGTGCCTAGATGCAAAAAACTACCACAGACCAAAGTACATGATGCCAGAAAATGATGTATAATTTTAGCTAAAATAATGGACTCTCTTCCACTGAAGCCAAAGGGTACTGCTGGTTTCAATGGGACAGGACTGGCTTGAGATGGAAGTGTGGGAATTGATGCTGAATGCTTTCCAGTTTGTGTTGCAGTTTTATTCAGACTCATGAGAAAGAATGTTGTTAGCTATAGATAAAATGTTTAGAAGATGGGACACATTCAAAAGTGTTTTGGTTTTGTACCAATGATCTATTCCAAAATTTAAGAAATATCATTTGAAGAAGGTTCACAATACAAATGGAGTATAGGAATATGGTGAACTTAAATTATGAGAATGATGAACTAAATATAATTCAGAAGTAGGAAAATTTTATAAGTTTGAACTTACTGAGGCAATAAAGACATATATGACTCAAATCTTAGGGAGGAGACTGCCTGAAGTCTCTTATTAAGAGTAATCTTCAAATATATCTTGCAGAGTTTAAGTATAAAAGCATATTTCTCAGAAATAGTTTTTTTTACTACTGAGATAAATAATCTGTGGTATTCCCATTCTTTTGATGTTTAGCCTACTGGGTATAGTTTCATTCTTTGAGTGTAACATAAACTGTAGTCTTAAATTCATCTCTTTATTGATAGGAATTTTATGTGGGGAATAACCAGACTTCTAGTTGGAAAACATGAATTTAAAAGAAAGATAGCCATTTCAACAGTACACTAATGCCTACCAACACCTGATAATTAAAGGATAGTAATTTGACTGTATATTCAAAAAAGGTTAACCCACCTTGTATTTTTTCTCTGTTGAAACTGGAGTAGTTCATGCATCTGTTTCCTTCTCCGTGTTGTTAAAATACTGCTCCTTGTAAAAGAAGAAGCAAAAGAAGCAAGAGAAATTAAAGAGAAGCTAAAATAAAGAAGTCACTTTAAAACCAAAATGTCTAGGATGTCATTACTTATTTAGAATGTGAGTCCTTCTTGAGGCATTTACAATTTTTTTATGCCACCACAGACTCAAGAAAGTAATAAGAGATACAAATATTTAATAAATACAATAACCTCACAGCTATCATAGATTTAATGTGGCCTAAAATTTTAGAGAAACAAAGTAACAAAACTTGGATCCTCTTACTTATAATGCAAATCTCCTAATTAATTAGTTGTGTTAAGGAGAATACCTGCTAATAGCCTAAGACATATTGTATACAATTTAGCTGCTCTGATTCACAGCAAAGGGAACATATACCATCACTGTCTTTTTTTTTGTTGTTGTTATTTGGGGAGGACATTTGATCACTCTGTCAATATTCCTTGAGTTCCCAATGTTTTCTAGCATTCCTCTCTGAAAACCTCACAAAAATCTTTCTTCCACCCAGGTAGAATAGGAAAAAAAAAGAGCTTTTGATATGTTTCTTATGCCACGAATTATATAAACTATTTAATTGCATGTAGTTCACCTCACCTGTCCCTTCAGCCAACTTAAACAGCTCAAAGACAAGACTTCAAAGCTGTTTCAAAATTTTCTAAGAAATGTCTAAAAATATTTTAGAAATAACTCCTCCTTAATAATGGAATATTAAAAGTAATATGAGAAGGAATAGGAAATAGAATAGCCCATGGGAGATAGATTAACTGATTCTTACAAGGTCTATACTCAGTAAGGTAAGTATAGCTAAGCAAGATGAAAGGTGTGATTGAGCTCTACATCATTCTCACTGCTTATTTCTCAATTCTGCAGCTAAGACTGAATCACTGCTGTTTTTATGTAGTCCTATGGCCTTCCATTTGTCCAGGGAGGTTCAAGAGAGCATCTCCTAAATGCTGTAGAAATAAATACATATAAATAACAATTCAACTGAAAAACTAACTCACCTTTAATGAAAAATCCTTCCTGGGTCTCTCTTCATATCTTTTGAGAATCTCAAATGTACTTAGTGCATTTTAACTGTGGAAGAAAAACATAAGTGGCTTGGAAAATGTGGGTGACACAACCAGAAAACCTCCATATTTTCATCAAAATTTTGGTCCCAAGCCTTAGAATGACAATAGTCTTTTCCCCAAAGTAGATGTTTATGAAAATCCTAAATAATTAGCTGCAGCATGCCTTGCTGTGTTCAGGTTCACTACCAGCTGCAGGCTGGTATGTCATGTAGCAAACAGCAGCAAGCAGGGATGTGTGCACCAGGAATGACGAGAGCACTGGGTAAAACGTGTCTACCATCTTCTCTGACTTGCCCTCGAAAGTTCCTCCTTTGCTGTAACCAGCACAGATCTGCAGGCAGAATTTCCTTTGGCTGGTTCTTCATGCTGAGTGCACTGTGGGGCTGCCTCCATGCACAGGACCTGCTGAACCTGACCCATATGACTACAATGCACTGCATTTTGTTGATACTTCCCAGACAGGTCTTGTGACTTGAAAGGGGCTGCAACATGCTTTCAGCAAGACAACAGTGGGTTTGCCAGCTTTGGGCTTTTTTTTTTTTTGATATATAATTGTATGGAATAGGGGTAATAACATACTGTGGTTGATGGAACAAACAGAACATGTCTGAGAAGCCATATTATTGCTATCTCTGAGAAAAAAACCCACTAGGCAATATGCTGCTTATTGCCAGCAGAGCGGATGGAGGCTCTGGATCTGTCAGGTTATTGTCCAGCTGAAGACTCTCAGGGTACCAGCACTTCAAGCTGGGCTCTCGGGGTGGCAAAGACTGCAAAATTGGCGTGGAGAATTGCAGGAACACACAGCCATCTTCCAGCTAACACCCTACAAACATCAGCTTCCAAATGGTACATTAGCAACGAGAGCAACAACATGCAGGTTATGTGGGTACGTGCTGACGCAGTGAGTGGGTCTTTTCAGAGCCCAGCACATTTGGGGTGTGCTGTAATTGGGGTTTGGTAGGTGTGCAGCAAAATCAGGAAGTGCAATTTGCACCTCCTTGTGCCAGAAACCAAATGAGTCAGATCCTTAAAGCCTCAATTTTAGCTTTGCTTCTGCCTCCTCATTGTTCTGACTAATACAATGATTTCAAACCCAGCTAAGTATGTTAAAAGCCAGCTGCATGGTCTCTAGGTTAGAGCACAGCCCGGCTCATGCTGGCGTCAGAGCTAAAAGACTCCCACAGATTTCAGGGGAGCAGCTGCAGGCCACTCCAGCTAACTGTAGGCAAAATTATTAACTGCACTAAGAAAGACATAAATCAAAATACATTTAACAATACAACACACTGCACTGCTATCAAACCATCAGAAGTCATTAGCATCTCAATCTTTAGGTGTCAAATTGAAACATCTTAAAGAGGCCAGAAGTTCAGAAGGAACAAAGCAGATGAACGTAAGACTTCTAAAATATTTAAAAACTAGTAACTCATCACACCTCTCTAGAGACTTAAAGTAGGCAGCAAGTTTAAATGCAAATCTGTAAATACATGGAAAAAAATCCAGAAAAATTCTCTGTATGGTTTGGGCCCCAGATGTGCAATTGCAGGATCAGTGTCATATGTGTTCACTTGGTATGGACTTGGTCCTGAGTTGTGGGCAATAATGAAACTTGTGTCTTTCATGAGACTCTCTATATATCTATTGGCAATTTTCATAGTGTACAAATTTACATAATCCAGGCTTCTCTCCAATTTATTTAATTATTTACTATAACTAAAGTATTTCAAACCCCATTTTTATCAACATGTAGGAGGTTTTTTTCTTCTGTTTGTAAATGAACATTAATAAATGGCAAATAACACTGAGGGTGAAATTAGTTAAAATAATGTAACATTTGAAAGAGGTAGTAACAGTTTTCTTTCGCTGTGCTCTCCCACTGAAACGATGACTTGGCAATGAGTTGATAACTGTTCTTCTTTCTGACCTTCTGTAACCCAAAACCTCAGTCTGACAAATGATATTGTG